CAGAGGGAAGGCGGGGGATGGAAGCCAGTGGAGGGATTGGCAGAGTGGGGTGGCAGACACTGAGCGGTTGGTTAGTTGGATGAGTCTGGCAGCAGCATTCATGATAGACTGGGGGGGGGGCCTGTGTAGAGGTCGGCCAATGGGGAGGGAGTTACAATAGTCATGACGAGAAATAACAAGTGAGTGGATGAGTAGCTTTGCGGTTTCATTGGCGAGGAAGGGGGTTATTTTGGAGATGTTATGATGGTGAAGGCAGCAGGACTTTCAGAGATGGTATTGGAAGACATGTGAGGTTATTAACTGACCGAGGGAAAAGGTGTAGATAGAGAAGGGGTCCAAGGACAGAGCCTTGGGGGACCCCTAGAGGACGGGAGGGGTTAGATGTGTAGGGGATACTAAAGAAGTGCTTAGATAGGTAGGAGGAGAAACACTTAGAGCAGTGGTTCTCAACCCCGTTGTCAGTGGGTCGCCATGTGACGTCCGCTGCGCTAGGTGACAGGCTCCTCAGCCTCCCCATAGCGCAGCACTGTCAGTTCTCACATCGAGCAGTCATTCAAGCTATGCTGCCCGTCGCCGAGCGCCAGCTTGAGGTGGGGTGGGGTGGGCTAGGGCCGTGAAGGAGCTCCATCCATCCGTGCCTTGCTTACATCTCCCTCGTGTGCCCTGTAGAGGTGCCTGAACCGGAGTCACATCACATTCTGGTTCCCGGCACCTCTACAGGACACACAAGAGAGCTGTACAAGCAATGAGCATAAGGATGGAGCTCCGTCACAACACCGCAGCCCACACTGGACCCCAGGCTGAGGTACCGCAATGCCGTGCGTTCCAGTGCAATGTGACTTGGGGTCACAACCTAATGACCGAGGACCAATGTTGGTCCCAAAGTTACACAGGTTGAGAACCAATGACTTTGAGGATGGTTTAGATCCCTTGGCCACTGGGTTATGGGTCCAGCACGCTTCCACTGCGCCACTCTGCTCTATAAAGGTAAAAAACTAAACTTGACAAATCTTATCTACCAACGAGGAGTCAACTTGACTAAATACTTCACATTTTGGCAACCAGCTAGACGTGCCACCCCAACAAACCTTATCAGGGATCGGCCGCTCATTCATTGGTTGTTTAAGGCGTACCTCATTACTTCTCCTGGTCTGGTCGCCTCCAATGAGATACATTTGCATATATCACATTATTGCTTTACTATCCCTGAGAAGGCTTTCATCCCTTCAGTTGCCTTTCTCATGAGACCGAGCTCTCATTAACTAATTGAAAAACACACACACACACCGCGCTCTCACCGCAATACATCACTTTGAGACCCTTCGTCGGATTCTATTTCTTCGGTCAACCCAATCCCTCCACCCATGACAGGTTTCTTATGGTTACGATGGTGCCGAGAATGCCTTAGACCAGACTTCCCCCAACTCTTATCATCCCGGCTGGATACTTTAGCCAGATAACTAGAATTTTCAGGAGGAGACGTCGGCAATGAGATCCTCATGATGGGTTTTCTTCAAAACCCAACTTGGTATGCTACATACATTTCAGTCCCTTTAAAACTAAAGGTGTTCAGCCACAGAGCAGTAAACCTGTCCCCTGCCAGCATGCTGTAGCATTGGTCTCTCTGCAGAGGTCCAACATGCTCTCTGCTGAGTCGGACCTAAAGCATGAACTTTAATGACAGAGCCATCGGTCTAACTCAGCGAGGGGGATGGGGGAGGGCACATTGGATCTCTGCAGAGAGACCACTGCTTCTACACGGCATAAATTAAAACAACAGATACAAATATATAGTTCTGTTTTCCTTCTTCAACTCTGAGTCGTTGACCTGTTTAGTGTTGGATATTAGATCTCCATTTACCTTCTTGTCCCTGTGACACCGGTACAAGAAATGGGGGGGGGGCTGTTGTC